TAGACTAGACTATAGACTAGACTATAGACTAGACTATAGACTAGACTATAGACTAGACTATAGACTAGACTATAAACTAGACTATAATCTAGTGATCTATCTATCGTGGGGATACCGCTGTATTTTTCGATATCAAATGGAACTGAAGAAAGTACTAAAATACTGAATTTTCCATGCCTGCTTTCCTAAGTGTATCTTTTCACTTTGTTATATCGCATCAGTTTAAAAATCGTCATGTTATATTCTGAAGTGCATACATATTTATGAAAAATATGTATATTATTTAGAATTTAATTTTGTCTTAAGGAAAGTTTTGAAAGAAAAAAGATAATAAAAAATTACTTAAAGCGGCTGTCAAATAAATACAACAATCTGTTTGTTGTAAAAATATGCACATGTTTATTCATACTTTATATGTATGTATTAAAATGAACATAAAAATATAACTGCAGTGACGAACTAAACTGAAAATGGGGCTTTTGTAAGAAATTATAAAAAGTTTTTTTTAAGTTTTCTTGTACAATTTTTGAACTCAACTGTTATACAAACACATACACATTTTCATATGTACATATATCTGTTATATTTATGCTAATTGTAACTTTATCATTGAAACGTTTTAACAATATGTTATTGTGTTTCAGTCTGTCTGTTCACCTTCCTGCCTGTCTTTCAAACAGTTGGTTGTTGTAACAAAAGATATAATATATTTTTTTGTCTTGTAACTTCACACTTGTTAAGACAGAAACACAAAAGGGCCAAGACACTCACACACACACACTTTCATTGACACAAGTTGTCACAAATTGTTTAAATGTCATGTAATGTCAAATGCATAAAGTAAGGGTGTCTTATAAAAAAATCAAATTTTGTTTAAACATTTTAAGATAATTTAGAATTAAATAAGAATCTATACACATAAGTTGTAATTTTAAATACATTCCAACTTTTTTCTTAGCAATTTTAATATAAAAAAATATTTTTAAAGGGACACCCTAAACTCTTGATTGAATTTGAAATAAAATTACAAATTTCATATTGTGTATTTGTCAAAATCAAAGTTGTAATTGTAACATTTACAATTAACAATCGTCATTAAATATCTGATGATTGTTATCAAACAGTTTTTGTATAAATTATTATTTGTGTTCAATTGTTTCAAATGACGTGCTGACAAATTAATTAGTCAAATACATATGTATGTGTATTTTATGTTCATTAGTAAACATATAAATTATTTATTTGGTTTATAACGAACATGCAACTAAAAAGTATTAAACATTTTCTTACTACTAGAACAAACAGCAATCGTCTTATTTAAAAAAAAACCAATAATATATTTTCCAACTTGCAACAACCCCCTCCCCCCTTTCAAGTTGTCCATTTTTTATCCATTTAAAACAATTTATTTTTAAACGGAAATTAAATAAAGTTTGTCATATTTTTCCTTCTTTTTCATAAAATATATGATAACTGAGTAATGTACAAAAAAAAAAAAAAAACTGCAACACATGTGTCAAAGTAACTGCTGATAATTTTAAAAATAAAAAAAAAAAGTTCCAATAAAATGTATCTCTGTATATTTTATGTTTAATTAAATTTTATTAAGTTACTTACTCAAAGTTATAAAGTTCAGCATACTGACCAGGGTATAGTGTCCTTTTTCGCCTCTTCTGTATAATATGAAGTGAATGATGTACTTCCGGTTGCTGCTAAAACAACAGGATGTAGCTTTTAAACAGGTTTATTAGTAACTGTTAAATGTTACAATATTTAATGCAAAGGTGTAGTGGTATAAACAGTGGTTTCTTTTCTTAAGAAAATTGTTCTTAAAGAAACTTTCATAAAGAAACCTGACTCTACAGAAATCATTCTAGAGAAAACTGTCTCTCCAAAAGAAAAAACATGTCTATACAGAAACCTTTATGAAGGTAAAGGCTTCTAGAGAATCTTTTCTACAGAAATTGTTTCCAAGGAAAACTGTCTTTGAAAAAATCTTTTCTAAATAAAGCTCCTTCTAGAAAAAATACGTTCTGTAGAACAATTTCTCTAAAGAAAACTACTTCAGGAAAAATTTTTGTAAAACGCTTTCCAGAAAAAACATTTCTAAAGAAAATTCTATTCAAATAAATTATTCTAAAGAAACTTCTCGTTACAGAATCTTTTTCAAAGAAAACTGTTTTTAGAGAAACATCTCTAAAAAAAACTCTCCTACAAACTAAAAAATGAAACTCTCTTCTGTTTCTAAAGAAAACTCTCTCTAGAAAACAATTACTTTCTGTAGCACAATTCCTCTAAAGAAAACTATCTCTACGAAAACTTTTTCCAGAAAAACTTTTCTAATGAAACTTCTCTCTACAGAAATATTGCCAAAGAAAACTCTTTTTAAGAAAAATCTCTTAAATGAAACTTTTAAAAAATTCTCTTTGGTGACTTTACTTAAGAAAACTCTTGCTTGAAAACCTCTCGCTGTTGAAGCTTTTCTAAAAAAACTCTCTGAAGAATACTTTTTCCAAGAAAACTCTCTCAAGACAAACATTACTTAAGAAAAGTCTCGCTATAGATGCTTTTCTAAAGAAAATTCTTTTTGTAGAACTTTTCTAAAGGAAACACTTTTTCCTGAAAATAAAAAAAATATATATTTTTTGTAAACAAAACTCATTATGGACTTCAACTTTTAAGAAACATTTTCTAGAGAAATATTTCTAAAGAATACTCTTTTTTGGGAAACTTTTCCCAATAAACTCTCTCAAGTAAACATTTCTTAAGAGAACTTAGGTTGTAAAAGCTTCCTAAAAACAGTTCTTTTTAGAGAACTTTTCCGAAAAAAATCTCGTGGTGGAGAAAATTTTAAGAAAAAACTTTCTTTAGACTTCTCTACAAAGCTTTTCCAAAAGAAACTCAGTTAATTAGTTAGTTAAGTTATTAGTTAGTTAGTTAGTTAGAATTAGGTTTAGTTAAGTTTTTAGTTAGTTAGTTAGTTAGTTAGTTAGTTAGTTAGAATTTAGTTTTAGTTAAAAAAGTTAGTTTTCTGTTGGAGTTAATTAGTTTAAGAAAAGTTACTTAGTTAGTTTAAAGTTTAGTTAGTTTGTTAAAAGAAAGTTATATAAGTTAGTTTAGTTTAGTTAGTAGTTAGTTAGTTAGTTAGTTAGTTAGTTAGTTAGTTAGTTAGTTAGTAGTTAGTTAGTTAGTAGTTAGTTAGTTAGTTAGTTCGTTCGTTTTAGTTCGTTCGTTGTTAGTTAGTTCGTTCGTTAGTTCGTTAGTTCGTTAGTTCGTTTTTAGTTAGTTTTCGTTCGTTTTTTTGTTGTTCGTTCGTTGTTCGTTCGTGTTTTTTGTTAGTTTTTTTCGTTCTTGTTCGTTCGTTTTTCGTTCGTTCGTTCGTTCGTTCGTTTTTCGTTCTTTCGTTCGTTCGTTTCGTTTCGTTCGTTCGTTCGTTCGTTCGTTCGTTCGTTCGTTTGTTCGTTTCGTTCGTTCTTCGTTCGTTCGTTTCTTCGTTCGTTTCGTTCGTTCTTCGTTCGTTCGTTCGTTTCGTTCGTTTTCGTTTTCGTTTCTTCGTTCGTTCGTTCGTTCGTTCGTTCGTTCGTTCGTTCGTTCTTTTTTTTCGTTCGTTCGTTCGTTCGTTCGTTTCGTTCGTTTCGTTCGTTCGTTTCGTTCGTTCGTTCGTTTTCGTTCTTCCGCCCCGCTTTTCTGCCGCCCCTCTTCTTCTCCGAAATTTCTCTACAGAGACTTTCTCCTTCCCAATTTTTTTCTAAAACTCTCTGAACTGAAAGAGCGTCAGCTATAAGGTACTTATGTATATACATCAGAATAGTCGGGTATTATTTTTCCTACAATAACGTAAAGCAGAGACAAACTTATTCCTTGCAAAAAATTAAAACTGCACAACACAACTTTGGCAACAAACGACAGCAAAAATAACATTCACGACATTTAAATGAAGGCTGTTTAAGAATAAGAATAAAACAAATGGAAAAGTAACAACAGAAAATAAACAAAAAACATACTTTAGCTCAAGGAATCAGATACAACCCAATAAACATCGATTCAAACCTGTGAATATTTTTGAAAATTTTCTTAACTAAATAATGTATTTTCCAAATTGTTTTCAAATTTTAAAGTTTAGCCTTTGAAATAAACATGATAATTTCAAAAAACGTTTAAAAAATATAATGTGTGATATTTATAAAATTTTCAAAGTTTTGTTTTAATTGAACTTAGAAAAGTTTCTTTCAAAAAATAAATTATTTTAGAAAAATAAAAACAGAACATTTTTTCTACGGCAAGGGAGCGAAAAAACGTTAAAAATAGGAGAAATAATCGGAGATATAAAAGAAAAATATGCTAAAATAAATGTATGAATGTTTTATTTTCAGGTGATGTAAAAAAATATATGAATTTTGCAATATTTAGCATTATAATTAGGGTTTGAAATATGTATGAAAATAATAATAAAGAATACTTGAAATACATTTGAAAATTTTTTTAGTTTCAAGCTTACCTCTAGCCTTTTTTTAAATTTGAAATACATTTGAAAAATACGTTTGATTTCTAACTGCCTTTTTGTTTGAGAAGGCCATAATTTTCCATTTGAAAACAAAAATTTTCAAATTTGTTCTCAAAGGCTATGTATGAAATTTGAATAGGTTTTCAAATACATATTTACATCATTTCAAAGGTTTTTGCTTATTGGGAAAATACAACTAGACAAAATGTCTGATAAACAAAAATACGAACATACACATATATGTATGAAAAGTTCTATAAATAGTATATATTTATGTTTGGAAAAAGAAATGTCCCTGGTAGACAGTTACTTTTTGTATATTTACAAACAACCTGATGATAAAAAATTTAAACAACATTTTACAATAAAATGCTGTAAAATAAAGTAAAAAGAACAGCTGTTACAACAGGATGTAGTACGTTACATTGTGAAATGTTACAGAAAAAATATATTTTTCAAATAAATTGTTAATGAAATAAAAAGCTGTGAAAAAATATATATGAGAAAAAGTTTAGTGGATTTAATTAAATTAATTTAACACGGTGATGTTTTAAAAATAAATTTGACAAACTTTGTTTAACGATGACTGACAAATTAGATTTGGAAGGTATTAAATAGGAATATTTTTGCTTGGAAAGAAAACAAGGACTTAAGTAAGGGATTTAATGAAAATAAAATTGTTTTTAGTAGCTGCAGTAAATCATATTCCTCACAATTCCTGTGTTACTTCAGCAATTATCTCAACTTTCCAGTCAGCATCACCGGAGCCAATAATCAATAGTTTATAGAAACCATCTTGTAAATGATTGGGCAAACCATCCTGAGAGAATTGACATGAATCTAATGTATATAATTTCTTTTCCAAAGGTGGCACGAATTTATCCTCGAAAACGGGGAAATCTGAACAATCCTTTAAAGTGTCCATTATAACATCTTTATAATGCGTATTAAGAACTTTAAAAAAGTGTGTGGCAGGCATTTGAAAGGGTAAAACTTTATAGTCATTATCACCCTGGGCACTGCGATACGATTTAGCTGAAATCTAATTTAACAAAATTAGTTACAATTCCAGATCTATAATCATATTTAATAGCTACCATATTAGAATCACCTTCAGCAACGTCATAGTTAAAGAGAACAGTACCGGATATAGCAAAGACACCACGTGAAATTCTTTGAATTTCTAAATGAACTTTAAGCTTTTCGGTATCTGAAGTTTCTGATGTTATAGATTTTAGTTCATACGACCAGGTTTTCTTAAAAATAAAAATTTTAGAAATTAATAGATATTTTAAACTTTAACCACATTACTACCTTAGCGGGCAACTGTCCTTTCGTTATCACACTGAAAGCTATTAATATAATTAAACTATTAATTGTTAAAAATTTACTCCATATTATTTCCCGCATTGCTCTAGTTCAACGTTCAAAGTCAAATTTAAATTATAGTTAAATTTTTCTAAATAACTTCTATTTATTACGATTGTTTGAATTATAATTTATGATTTCTGTTTTGCTGTATTCTTGACTACATTGTCAATAAAACTCATGCAATTGTTATGTAGAAATTAACGAAAATTGATTAAAAATGTCTGATTAAATGACATTTCCACAAGCTTTTAATTTAAAGGTACTTTTTTGTGGAAAACTTGTTTCCAAACATACATATGTTCCAATAGCACATGACAATGTAATTAAAATAAACATAATACTAACAGGAAAAGCTTTCTAAAGAAAATATTCTATATTAAACACATCCTTACAGTCTACTAAAGAAAACTCTTCCTACATTTCTGTTTAGAGGAAATTATCCAAAAAAGCTCTATTCAGGCTAACTGTTAACTAAAAATTACAAATTTCACAACTAGAGTAGTTTCTAGAGGACAAACCAAAATTATCATTTCCCACAGATGAAAGCTTACTAAACAAAGTTTCTACAGGAAGCCATTTTAAGAGACATTTCTCTGAAAAAAACTTTCGATGCCTTTTTTTACAGAAAGATTTTCTTTGAAGAAAAACAAGAGAAAATAAAACTATTATTGAATAACTTTTTCAAAAGAAACTTTTTTAAAGAAAAAGTTCCTAGAAAGCTTTTCAAAATTCCACAGCAAACTTTTAAAAGAAATCTTTCTAAAAAAGCTTTCATTAGAGAAATATTACTAAAGAAAATGTTCACTTGAGAAACTTATCTAATAAAGCTTTTCTAGCGAAAACATTCATTAAAAAACTTTTAGTAAAGAACATTTTCTTAAAAAAACTTTCCATGCATTTTTTTCTTTGGAGAAAAACCAACTTTTTTTAAGAAGCTAGAAAACATCTCTCTCACTCTCTCTCACTCTCTCTCTCTCTCTCTCTCTTGATAAAGTTTACTAAACCAACTTTTTCCAATTAAGCTTTTGTTAAAGAAAAACTTTGTAGGAAACTTTTTCAATAATAAAAATATCCACAAAAAAGTTTTTACCATTTAAAAAAAAAAAAAATACTTTCTCAAAAAAAAATTATAAAAAGCTTTTATTAAAGTAATATTTCTAAAGAAAACTTTCACCTAAAAAACTTGTCAAACAAAATTGTTCCAGAGAAAACATTCATTAAAACAACTTTTAGTAGAGAAACATTTTCTTAAGAAAACTTTCACTTGAGAAATTATTTTAATGAAACCTCTCATTAGAGGAATATCATTAGAAAAGCATTTACTATAGAAATACTTCAAGAGAAAATTTTCACTAGATAAACGTTTCCAAAGAAAACTGTCGACGGAGGAAAAGCTGTCTGTTAAGTTATAGTTTTCCATTTCTAATGCAAACATTTCTAAAGAGAAATGCCGCTAGAGAAGGTTTTCTAAAAAACTTCTCTAGCTCTGAGAGATATTTCCGTTTTCATACAGAAAACTGACTTTAGAGAAACTTTTTTATAAGAAAACTAGCTTTGGAAAAAGTTTTCAGAAAAAAATGTCTCTAGAGAAACTATACTAAAGAAAACTTTATAAAAACATTATAGAGAAAAATTATAAAGAGAACTGTACACAGAACAACTCTTTTGAAGAAAGCTCTGCTAAGAAAACTCTCTCCATTAAAAACATTTCTAGAGAAAACTGTCTTAAATGTCTGTCTTAATGAAGATTGTCCTTAGAGAAACTTTTCTTAAGAAAACTTTTTCTAGAGAAGCTTTACTAAAAATATTGTCTCTAAAGAAACTTTCCGAAAGAAAACTGTCTCTAGGGAAAGCTTTATAAAGAAAACTTTCAGCATGGAAACTTTTCTTAAGAAAAATCTCTTTCTTTTTGAGAATATGTTTGATTTTTGAATGTTAATCCTAACAGTAGGCAACAATTTGTATGTAATAATACAAATATTGCTGCATACCTGTGAGTATGAGCAATATATTTTTTTACTAAAATAAAATATAAAGTATACGTATGCCAGTAAATAGGAATACATATTTTTCAAAAGACTTAAGCCAAAAGTCCATACCACGTATTCTCGCTGAAAAGATGTGTAAGTTTTTCTTCCGTTTGAGCGTTTTACGTTTGTATATCCGTCCGCCCGACTGTCTGTCTGTCTGTCTGTCTGTCTGTCTGTCTGTCTGTCTGTCTGTCTGTCTATCTATCTATCTATCTATCTATCTATCGATCTACCTTTCTGTCCGTAAAATTTCTGAAGACTTTGAGATCTACAGAAGATTTGTATTTAAAATCAGCAAAATCGTTACATAAATAACGGAGATTTTATTGAACAAACTGAACACATTTTCATGATTTATTTACTTTTAAACCTCATTAATTTCACTTTTATACTACACATTATTAGCTTCGACTTCAGCTATTACCTCCACTTCCCACTCAACATCACCAGTACCCGATAAAACAATCTTATATACACCTGCTTCCATATGATTAGGCATACCGTCCTGAGATATTTGACATTTATCTAAAATATAGGTTTTCTTTTCGAGAGGTGGTGTAAACTTATCTTCAAAAACTGGTAAATCTGAACAATCCTTAAATGTATCCATAAGCACACTTTTATAATGACTATTAAATGCCTCGTAGAAATGACGTTGTGACATTTGCAAGGGTATACTTCTGTAATCACCATCACCATTGGTACTACGAAATGATTTTAGTTGCACCTAATAAAGGAACAATAAGTTTGATAACTTTGTAGGTTACATTTGTTGTAGCATTTTAAAAACTTACATTATTTCCATCGCCCTCTGTCATATCAAGATTCATGTAAAATTCTCCGGATAAAGCAAAAACACCACGTTTAATGCGTTCAATACTTAAATTTATATTTATTAAATCGGGATTTGAACTTTTGGTATTAACTTCGGTCAATTCATAGATCCAGCTTCTCTATAAGTTAAGAAGAAGTGCTTAAACGTCCTTTTGTTTAATGTTTTTAATCCTTTTTGTAATTTACCTTATCAAATGTTGCCACAAAACCGAATAGATATATAACACCGATAATTAATTTATTCATTATAAAACTTATTTCAATTCTAAAGTTATACAGTAGTTTAATGTTTAAAAAGTACTGAGACAATGTTAGGATTTATTGTTATTTATGTGCAAATTTCCAATTCATTAATTTCAAATATTAAACATGAACATTTCATGTTAACAACAATTTAGCTTTTACTACAGCCAATTAATTATGTTGTTATAAAGTAATATAAACAAAATTTTTTTGAATCATAACATAATGATAAGAATTACATTTTAAGTAAGTAAGTAACTAACTAACTAACTAACTAACTAACTAACTAACTAACTACTAACTAACTAACTAACTAACTAACTAACTAACTAACTAACTAACTAACTACTAACTAACTACTAACTAACTAACTAACTAACTAACTAACTACTAACTAACTAACTAACTAACTAACTAACTACTAACTAACTAACTAACTAACTAACTAACTAACTAACTACTAACTAACTAACTAACTACTAACTAACTAACTAACTAACTACTAACTAACTAACTAACTAACTAACTAACTAACTAACTAACTACTAACTAACTAACTAACTAACTAACTACTAACTAACTAACTAACTAACTAACTAACTAACTAACTAACTAACTAACTACTAACTAACTAACTAACTAACTAACTAACTAACTAACTAACTAACTAACTACTAACTAACTAACTAACTAACTAACTAACTAACTAACTAACTAACTAACTAACTAACTAACTACTAACTAACTAACTAACTAACTAACTAACTAACTAACTAACTAACTAACTAACTAACTAACTAACTAACTAACTAACTAACTAACTACTAACTAACTAACTAACTACTAACTAACTAACTAACTAACTAACTAACTAACTAACTAACTAACTACTAACTAACTAACTAACTAACTAACTAACTAACTAACTAACTAACTAACTAACTAACTAACTAACTAACTACTAACTAACTAACTACTAACTAACTAACTAACTAACTACTAACTAACTAACTAACTAACTAACTAACTAACTAACTAACTAACTAACTAACTAACTAACTAACTAACTAACTAACTAACTAACTAACTAACTAACTAACTACTAACTAACTAACTAACTAACTAACTAACTAACTAACTAACTAACTAACTAACTACTAACTAACTAACTAACTAACTACTAACTAACTAACTAACTAACTAACTAACTAACTAACTACTACTAACTAACTAACTACTAACTAACTAACTAACTAACTAACTAACTAACTAACTAACTAACTAACTAACTAACTAACTAACTAACTAACTAACTAACTAACTAACTAACTAACTACTAACTAACTAACTAACTAACTAACTAACTAACTAACTAACTACTAACTAACTAACTAACTAACTAACTAACTAACTAACTAACTAACTAACTAACTACTAACTAACTAACTAACTAACTAACTAACTAACTAACTAACTAACTAACTAACTACCTAACTAACTAACTAACTAACTAACTACTAACTAACTAACTAACTAACTAACTACTAACTAACTAACTAACTAACTAACTAACTACTAACTAACTAACTACTAACTAACTAACTAACTAACTAACTAACTAACTAACTAACTAACTAACTAACTAACTAACTAACTAACTAACTAACTAACTAACTAACTACTAACTAACTAACTAACTAACTAACTACTAACTAACTAACTAACTAACTACTAACTAACTAACTAACTAACTAACTAACTAACTAACTACTACCTAACTAACTAACTAACTAACTAACTAACTAACTAACTAACTAACTAACTAACTAACTAACTAACTAACTAACTAACTAACTAACTAACTAACTAACTAACTAACTAACTAACTAACTAACTAACTACTAACTAACTAACTAACTAACTAACTAACTAACTAACTAACTAACTAACTAACTACTAACTAACTAACTAACTAACTAACTAACTACTAACTAACTAACTAACTAACTAAACTACTAACTAACTAACTAACTAACTAACTAACTAACTAACTACTAACTAACTAACTAACTAACTAACTAACTAACTAACTAACTAACTAACTAACTAACTAACTAACTAACTAACTAACTAACTAACTAACTAACTAACTAACTACTAACTAACTAACTACTAACTAACTAACTAACTAACTAACTAACTAACTAACTAACTAACTAACTAACTAACTAACTAACTAACTAACTAACTAACTAACTAACTAACTAACTAACTAACTACTAACTAACTAACAACTAACTAACTAACTAACTAACTAACTAACTAACTAACTAACTAACTAACTAACTAACTAACTACTAACTAACTAACTAACTAACTAGTAACTAACTAACTAACTAACTAACTAACTAACTAACTACTAACTACTAACTAACTACTACTAACACTAACTAACTAACTAACTAACTAACTACTAACTAACTAACTAACAAACTAACAAACTAACAAACTAACAACTAACAACCAAACAAACAAACAAACTAACTAACTAACTAACTAACTAACTACTAACTAACTAACTAACTAACTAACTAACTAACTACTAACTACTAACTAACTACTAACTACTAACTAACTAACTAACTACTACTAACTAACTAACTACTAACTAACTAACTAACTAACTAACTAACTAACTAACTAACTAACTAACTAACTAACTAACTAACTAACTAACTACTAACTAACTAACTAACTAACTAACTAACTAACTAACTTACTAACTTACTAACTTACTAACTAACTAACTAACTAACTAACTAACTAACTAACTAACTAACTAACTAACTAACTAACTAACTAACTAACTACCTAACTAACTAACTAACTAATTAACTAACTAACTACCTAACTAATTAACTGACTCTAGGAAAACCCTCTTTTTTAGGAAACTTTTCTTAAAAAAATTCTCTGTAGCAAATTTCTCAAAAAAAATTCCCAAAAAACTCTATCTAAAGAAACTTCACTAAAGAAAAATCTATATAGGTAGATTTTGTTAAAGATCTTACACTCTCTATATTAAAGAAAACTCTCTCTAAAGAAATTTTTCCTAAAAAATATCTCTAGAAAAACATTTCTAAAGAGTATTCTCTCCAGAGAAACATTTTTATAAGAACATTTTTAAAAAGCTCTATATTGAGAAACGTTTCTAAAACACTCTCTGGAGAAAGTTTTCTCTCTCTAGAAAACCTTTGCTAAGGATTTAATTTCTAAAGAAAAATCTGTCTAAAGAAACTTTTCTAACGAAAATAATCTTCTAACGAAAGCTCCTTCTAGAAAACCTTTGCTCAAGAATACTATCTTTAGAGAAACTTTTCTAAGGAAAACACTCTTTAGAGAAGCTTTTTTAAAGAAAAAACATTTCTATAGAAAGCACTCTCTACAAAACCTTTTAAAAAAAAAAAATCTCCCTAGAACTACTTTTCTAAAGAAAACTTTCTCCAAAAAAACTTAACTAAAGACAATTTTCTGTAGAGAAACATTTCTAAAGAAATTTCTCTCTAGAAAAACTTTTCTAAATTTCTCACTAGAGATACTTTTTTAAAGAAAAATCTCTCAAGAGAGAATTTTCTGAAGAATATTTTATATAGAAAAACTTTTCTAAAAATTCTCTCTTCATGGAAATTATATATTTTAGCACACCTTTGCGTATGAACAATATTCATTTATTGAAATATGTACATATAATATAAAGTATACGTAAAGTGAAGAACAAAATACTCAACATCTTAAAGATAAAACTGAATTTGCATTAAAATTAAATATTAACCGAAATTTAATTCAATTTCAAAAATCACCTCAAGTTCCCAATCGACTTGACCATAACCCGTCAATACAATCTTATATAAACCCCTTTCCATATGATTCGGCAAACCGTCCTGAGAAAATTGACATTTATCTAAAATATAGGTTTTCTTTTCCAAAGGTGGTGAAAATTTATCCTCAAAATATGGTAAATCTGAACAATCCTTAAATGTATCCATAACCACATTTTTATAATGACTATTAAGAGCTTCATAGAAATGACGTCGTGACATGTCGAAGGGTATGCTTTTATAATTACCATCACCATTAGCACTGCGAAATGATTTAAGTTCCACCTGAACAAAAAAAATTGTTTAAAATTTTTCCAAACTATTAGGTTTTCTTTGAAAACTTACATCATTTCCATCACCCTCGGTTATATCAATATTCAAATAAAATTCTCCAGACAAAGCAAAAACACCACGTTTAATACGTTCTATACTTACGTTGAAATTTAATAAATCTGGATTTGAACTTTTGGCATTAACTTCGTTCAATTCATAAATCCAGCTATTCTGAAAAGTTAAAGAAAAATTGAAATATTTTTAAAACATAAAATAGGATTAAGAAAAAATTTCATTAAATTTACAAATTTTGCAGTCTAATATATATATATATATAGATTTACCTTATTTACAATAGCTGACACAAGATCGACAATAAATAAAAAACTTAAAATTTCAAATAAAATGGAAATATTCATAACTCACTGACTACTACTGCCGTTAACTTTACAGAAACTCTAAAATTGTATTGAGAAAAGTTTTCAATATCCCTTAGTTTTTATAGATTTATATACATACGTTTTTTTATAATCAAACATGGATTATTAAACTAATTGATTATAACTAATTAATGAGGTTGTTAAATAAGTTTATCTTGACAAAATTTTTTTTGATTTTTTAGATAAAAAATATTATATTTGCTATAAACATCTGCTAAACACGTTTTATTGCAAATGTATTTTTTTAGAAATTAAAATATATTTGAGTCCTGCTTTCTTCTTCTCAAGAGAAATTTCACGAGAAAACTTTTTTAAAAACATTATCGAGAGAAACTTTTTTATAAAGAACTCTTATTGTAGAGAATCTTTTCTAAAAAGCTTTCTAGATAAACTTTTCTAAAAAATCTCTTCCTAAAGAAAAATGTTGAAAAACTCTTTCTGTAGAATTGTTTTACAGTAAAATATTTCTAGATAACTCTCTCTGGAGAAACTTTTCTAAAGAACTTTTCTAAAGAAAACTCTCTCTAGAGAAACTTTTCTAAATAAAACTCTCTCTAGAGAAACTTTTATAATGGAACATTTCTAAAGAAATATCGAAAGAATATTGTAGAGAAACTTTTATAAGTAAAACTCTCACTAGAGAAACTTTTTTAAGTAAAACTCTCACTAGAGAAACTTTTCTATGAAAACTCTCTCTAGAGAATCTTTTCTAAAGAAAACTCTCTCTAGAGAAACTTTGCTAAGGAAACTCAGTCTAGAGAAACTTTTCTAAAGAAAATTCTGCCTAGAAAAAACTTTTCTAAAGAAAACACTGTTTAGTCAGAAATTTCTTTAGAAAGGTTTATCTAGAGAAAGTTTTCTAAAGAAAACTCTGCCTAGTGAAACTTTTCTAAAGAAAACTCTCTCTAGAGAAACTTTCCTAAAGAAAATTCTGCCTAGAGAAAATTTTCTAAAGAAAATTCTGCCTAGAGAAAATTTTCTAAAGAAAATTCTGCCTGGAGAAACTTTTCTAAAGAAAACTCTGTCTAGAAAAACGTTTCTAAAAAAAAATTCTGTCTAGAGAAACTTTTCTAAAGAAAATTCTGTCTAGAGAAACTTTTCTAAAGAAAACGCTGTCTAGAAAAACGTTTCGAAAAAAAACTCTATCTAGAGAAACTTTTTTAAAGAAAGCTCTCCAGAGAAACTTTTCTACTGAAAACTCTGTCTAGAGAAACATTTTTAAAGAAAACTCTGTCTAGAGAAACTTTTCTAAACAAAACTCTCTCTAGAGCAACTCTCCAGAGGAACTTTTCTAAAGAAATCTTTCTCCAGAGAAACTTTTCTACAGAAAACTCTGTCTAGTGAAACTTTTCTAAAAAAAAAAAAAAACACTCTAGAGAAACTTTTCTGAAGAAAACTCTCTCCACAGAAACTTTTCTAAAGAAAACTCTTTCTAGATAAACTTTTTTAAAGAAAACTCTATCCAGAGAAACTTATCTAAAGAAAACTTTCTCTAGAAATACTTTTCTGTAAAAGCTCACCCCGATGAAAACTTTTTCTGAAGAACATTTTCTAAAAAACTCTTTTTATAGAATATTTTCTTAATAAACCCTCTTTTTAAAGAAAACTAAATTTAGAGAAACTTTTGTGAAAAGAAATCTATTTTCTGGAAAAAAAAATCTCAAAAAAACAACGTTTCTAAATAAAATTACTTTTTATAATAATTTCTAAAGAAAACTCTTATTTGAAAAAAATATTTCTAAATTAAACTTTCTCTAAAGAAACTTTTTATAAGCAAAACTTTATATTAAGAAACTTTTTGTAACAAAAACCATCAGTTTCTTTACTCGGGTAATATTGCAAATTACATTTAGCAACAAGGTGTATATTCCTTATTTTAATATCATTCTCTTTGAACTTATATTTTTTTTTTAATTAAATTTTATTCATCATTTGATTCAACCTCAAAAATCACCTCAACTTCCCAATCCACTTGACCGTAACCTGTTAAAATAATCTTATAAACACCCGTCTCCAAATGATTTGGCATACCCTCCTGAGAAAATTGACATCTATTTAGGATATAGGTTTTCTTCTCTAAAGGTGGTGAAAATTCATCTTCAAAATATGGCAAATCTGAACATTCTTTAAATGTATCCATAACGACATCTTTATAATGACTATTAAGAGCTTCATAGAAATGACGTCGTGACATTTCCAAGGGTATACTTTTATAAACACCATCACCATTGGGACTGCGAAATGATTTAAGTTCCACCTAAATAAAATATGTCATAAAATTTATATGCATAAATTGTTTAAATTAAATTTAAATGGATACTCACATCATTTCCATCACCTTCTGTCATATCGATGTTGACATAGAACTCTCCGGACAAAGCATACACACCACGTTGAATACGTTCAATATTTAGACTTACATTTATTAAATCGGGATTTGAACTTTTGGTATTAACTTCGGTCAATTCATACATCCAATTTTTCTAAAAAGAAAAATTAAAAAAAGTCCATAACTTTTTAAAACCTCTTAATTCTTATTAAATTACCTTATCCGTTGCTATCACATGATCAGTGATCAATAATAAAACACTTAATATAGCAAATAAAATTAAAATATTCATAGCCTGATGTTAACGAATAAGTTTTTGAAAGCCTCTAACATTGTTTTGTAAAAACTGCACAATATATATCGATTTTTATAAATTATTTTAACTTTTTTACCACTTATACATTTTTGTGATCTGAGGAAATCATGCAATTTCTGTGTTAAAAACAATGTAGCCTTTATGACAACTATTTAATTTGTTAATCTTGTCAAAAATTATTTAAATTTTTAGATAATATTTTTTAAAAATTTCAGTTAAACACGTTTCAAATTTAAAGTTTTTTCGGAAATTTCTATATATTTAATATTTGAATACACTATCAATAGTAATGAAACTGCATTCAATGTGATCTATGATGGACTAGACTATAGACCGGACTATCGACTAGACTTTAGACTAGACTATAGGCTATACTATAGACTATAGACTAGACTATAGACTAGACTATAGACTAGACTATAGACTAGACTATAGACTAGACTATAGACTAGACTATAGACTAGACTATAGACTAGACTATAGACTAGACTATAGACTAGACTATAGACTAGACTATAGACTAGACTATAGACTAGACTATAGACTAGACTATAGACTAGACTATAGACTAGACTATAGACTAGACTATAGACTAGACTATAGACTAGACTATAGACTAGACTATAGACTAGACTATAGACTAGACTATAGACTATAGACTAGACTATAGACTAGACTATAGACTAGACTATAGACTAGACTATAGACTAGACTATAGACTAGACTATAGACTAGACTATAGACTAGACTATAGACTAGACTATAGACTAGACTATAGACTAGACTATAGACTAGACTATAGACTAGACTATAGACTAGACTATAGACTAGACTATAGACTAACTATAGACTAGACTATAGACTAGACTATAGACTAGACTATAGACTAGACTATAGACTAGACTATAGACTAGACTATAGACTAGACTATAGACTAGACTATAGACTAGACTATAGACTAGAATAGACTAGACTATAGACTAGACTATAGACTAGACTATAGACTAGACTATAGACTAGACTATAGACTAGACTATAGACTAGACTAGACTAGACTATAGACTAGACTATAGACTAGACTATAGACTAGACTATAGACTAGACCAGCGGTTCCCACCGTTTTTTACTTCGCGGACCCCTTGAGGAATTTATTTAATTTCACGGACCCCCATACATATTTTGATATCTTATTGTTATAAATAACACTGTGATACAAAAGTGAAGAAAAATAAAATGCAGGCGTTCTCATATACCAAATCTATTTCGTTATAGTCCATAGAGTACGAATATATTTTTAGTTTTCCCCTATCACTTCGTTAACTTACTTTTTAAGAGCAAAAGATGCGAAAAAGAGCCATTTTTGAAGTTTTAAATTTGAAAAATCATAAGTTTAGTAGTTTTCATCCGATTTTCAAATCCGATATTTTTTTTTAATGATACAAGTGTCTTTTAATCAAAAAAAAAAATGTCTGAGTTACGGTCGTTTAAGTAAAAAAACTCACACTTTTTTAAAAAATTTTCATTTTCATCATGCTCTACTTTGACCATGAGGCAGTGAGTTCATCTTTTATTACTTTCCTGAAGAATCACATAAAGGAAGGTTTCTAAAACTTGTTATTTCATAAAAATCTATGAAAAACTGGATGATTTATGCCAATTTTTCTAATAGCATGTTTCTCGAATTTTTGGTTTTCTCCATACAAATTAATTTTTGTATAAAAATGTTTATAAACATTTTTTAAACTTGTTACAAAGAAAACCAGAAACATGAACGTTTTTGTATGGAAGAAATATGCTATATTTTTATAAAACTTAGCACAACTCATAACCTTTTTCATCGATTATCATAAATTGACCATCATTGGAAACCCAACTTAATGTGCCTTTTTTTAAATGTAATAAAAGCTAAAGTTACTGCTTCATGGCCAACGTACACAGAAAAAAATGGAATTCAAAATCAAACAAAAAATTCATAAAGCCAAGTATTTTTTTTACTAAAATAGGACCTATCACAAAATTCGTAAAATCAAGTACTCAAATTCGTAAATTCTTTATTGAAAAAATTTCAGGATTTTTCTTATTTAAATAATATACTATTTACGAAAAACATTAATAAATAATCGCAACATTTCCAAACAATTATTTTACTGAAACAATAACACAAGTTATTAGTATTTGTACTGAAATTCAAGCAAATATGTTATCTGAAACATTTAAATTATTTATTGTATTTTGGCAATAATAATAAGAAAATTTTTCATTGAATCTATAAAAATTTTGTTAAAAAATATATACTAATTTTTAACAAAAATTTTACAAAAAATATTTAAAACTAAAAGTAGTAAAAAAATTACATATATATTTACAACATTTTTAAGAAAACGTTTCTAATTCTAGAAACTATTATTTTGTACTGTGAAAACTGAAACACTTATACATTAAATGTTATAAACCAAATAAGAATTATATCAATTCGTTTTAGTACATTCCAAAACTGGTTTTATTGTTGTATTCCATATGCTGACATAAAAATAAAACTCAAACAAAAACATTTATTGAATCAGTAAAAATATTTACTGAAAGTTAAATTTATTTCAATAAAGTGTTTGTTAGAAAATATTTTCCTTCTGTGTGAACATCAAACAAATTCGTTATAAACCCAAATAAAAATATTAATAAAAATAGAAATTAAATTTAAGCAACCGATTGTTAAGAAAAAAATTGTGCATTTTTTTTTCTGTGTAGAGCAGTATGAAAATTAAAAATTGTGAAAAAAGTGTGAGTTTTTTTACTTAAATGGCCGTAACCAAGACATTAATCATAAATTTTGGATTTATTTTTTTGGGTTGAAAGACAACACTCGTATCTTTAAATATCCAATTTGAAAATCGGTTGCAAACTACCAAACATATATTTTTTTTTAAGTTAAAACTTCAAAAATAGCTCTTTTTCACAACTTTTGCTCTTAAAAAGGAACTAAACGAAGTGATCGGGAAAAATTAAAAATAAATTCCTACTCTATGGACTATAACGAAATGGAATTGGTATATGAGAACCCCTGCATTTTTTTGCTGTATCACTGTGTAATTGTTCGTCCGAAAATTGTCTAAGTCCTGGTCCATAAACCCTATAAAATATTCCCGTACATTGAGAACATTTAGTATTTCGGAGATGTTTTCAATTTCATGGTTTTAAATATAGAATGACTTCTACCATGATGTTTAATTTTATGATCGTGAGAGCTTTCATGTTCATTTCTCGTCAAGGTAGAGAAAATGTTTCTTTAACAAGTATTGTCGACATGTGCTTAAAGAGTCATGTTTCTAAATTTTTTTGCGATTGCATAGGAGTAAGCTGAGTATGTAAGCTAAGTTTTCGGGAAAATATGTGAAAGTTAGACTTCTTCGATGTTGTTGCGGAATGCGTTACCCACATAAAATATGACCTGGACTCTTTGCGAATGTACTGTGAATTTGGATCTTAAATTTGAATTTTAAAATACCTACGAATTATTTTACTGCGTGGTTTTGACTATTTACGCAAAACGCTATGAATTTTCTGATGTTGATTTAATAATATTGGACAACAAAATGAAGTTAAAATCTGTGTATCACGTTGGAATGGAATATTTATATTTAAAATTAACTAGATTAACACTTTTGCTTACAATTTAAAAAAATATTATGAAATGTGACCTAACTTCATATTCCGGGATACCAGTATCAGTATTTAATTCTAAGGCAAATCATTATCCGTCTGCTATAGCATAAAAACATTTATTTCGATACATATATATTTATAAAAATTACAAATCACGTAATACTTTACTTTATAAAAGTGAAACAATAAATTTGTAGGGCCTAGCTTCATCCTGATAAACGACCAAAACAATAAAATTCAAAGAGTCACCAACAAATCTGGGATTATTGAATAAAAATTGTGTATTTTAGTATTTATGAAAAATTTGGAGATATTTTTAATATTTTGTAACATATAGAGAATATTTTTTATTCATGATTTTTTTCGTTCGTCTTCGCGGACCCCCTAGGATTTTGCTACGGACCACTAGGGGTCCGCGGACCCCCTTTTGGGAACCGTTGGACTAGACTATAGACTAGACTATAGACTAGACTAGACTAGACTATAGACTAGACTATAGACTAGACTATAGACTAGACTATAGACTAGACTATAGACTAGACTATAGACTAGACTATAGACTAGACTATAGACTAGACTATAGACTAGACTATAGACTAGACTATAGACTAGTCTATAGTCTATAGACTATAGACTAGACTATAGACTAGTAGTCTATAGACTATAGACTAGACTATAGACTAGACTATAGACTAGACTATAGACTAGACTATAGACTAGACTATAGACTAGACTATAGACTAGACTATAGACTAGACTATAGACTAGACTATAGACTAGACTAGACTAGATAAGACTAGACTATAGACTAGACTATAGACTAGACTATAGACTAGACTATAGACTAGACTATAGACTAGACTATAGACTAGACTATAGACTAGACTATAGACTAGACTATAGACTAGACTATAGACTAGACTATAGACTAGACTATAGACTAGACTATAGACTAGACTATAGACTAGACTATAGACTAGACTATAGACTAGACTATAGACTAGACTATAGACTAGACTATAGACTAGACTATAGACTAGACTATAGACTAGACTATAGACTAGACTATAGACTAGACTATAGACTAGACTATAGATAGACTATAGACTAGACTATAGATAGACTATAGACTAGACTATAGACTAGACTATAGACTAGACTATAGACTAGACTATAGACTAGACTATAGACTAGACTATAGACTAGACTATAGACTAGACTATAGACTAGACTATAGACTAGACTATAGACTAGACTATAGACTAGACTATAGACTAGACTATAGACTAGACTATAGACTAGACTATAGACTAGACTATAGACTAGACTATAGACTAGACTATAGACTAGACTATAGACTAGACTATAGACTAGACTAGACTAGACTATAGACTAGACTATAGACTAGACTATAGACTAGACATAGACTAGACTATAGACTAGACATAGACTAGACTATAGACTAGACTATAGACTAGACTATAGACTAGACTATAGACTAGACTATAGATTAGACTATAGACTAGACTATAGACTAGACTATAGACTAGACTATAGTCTAGACTATAGACTAGACTCAGCATTTAAGGTCTTTAGACACATTTGATGATCGACTCTATCGCCTCAAAATCCTTGGAGGCTGATGCTACTCCAAAGATTTTAAATATTTATCCTCCAACCACACATGAAGATTTATAAACCCAAAATTCATTCTAACGAAAATTTAAATATTTTAAATCATTAAATTATTCGTCTACAAGATTTTCCTCAAAAAACAATGCCTTAATAAACATTCACAATATATTTTATTTCAGATTCAACAGATTTCTCTATAAATACAAAAAAAGGAACAAAACTCATCATTTAACTACTAAAAGAGAAGAAAACTACGCACAATAAACCACAAACCTACCACATCGTATCAATTTCCCATCAAAAAAAAAAAAAAAAAAAAAAGAAGAACAAAAACATCCATAAGAGAAAAACAGAAAAATATTTGCAAAACACTTTTCCGAAAAGAACTGGAAACAGTTTAACACATATATTGCAACAACCAGAAAACCCAACCAAATAACAACCACACAACAACAGCAGCAGCACAATGCGTCGTTCATCATTTACACCAGTTTTCAATATCAGCACACAAGAGCCACTTATTGTGGTTGAAGAATCTCAAACAACAGATGATAGTGACGATGTACAGGGAGCGGTTGGCGGTGTCGGCAGCGGTGGTGCCGAGGGTGGTTATGCACGAACAAACAGTGATGACTCAGATCCAGAATCACCAAAAAATCCATATCTTCTGTGTCCACTACCAGATATGCAACAACGTCGCAAACATTCATTGCCATCATTGCAAATAACGGAGGGTATAACGGCCAGTCAAGTGCGTCGCTTATCCGAAGTGGGCGGTGAAACGGGAGGCTTGAGTCCACATGAAGTGGAATTCTTGGCCACACTATCACAGAAAACCAATCCAGGTGGTGGTGGCCGAAGGCATTCAGTGGTAACAATATCGGCAGTACCACCCACACTATTTGGTCGTAATCGTCGTGAATCTATATCGGGGGCAATGTATAGGTGAGTACACATTTTTTTATTTTTTATTATTGTCCATGTGTTAAATATCCCACCTTTCTGCTGTTTGCTCGAAAAAAAAGGTTGTAGTTAGAATTGCAACGGAAGTAATTTAATGACTGAATCTATTCGCAATTAACATGACAGAAACACAGTTGAAATGCACTTCGTTTGTACATTTCTTGGTCAATATATAATGGAATTTGAAATTTTCCTTTTTTTTCAAATTTTAAATGAAGTTAAGTAGTTTACTTCATTTATTTTATTGTTCTTCGTATTTGCGCTGGCAGTGTCACCTGGCAAAAATTGAAACAAAAGATAATTTAATTTAAAATGTTGCAACACTTTATGAAGTACTTATTGCCTCTTCAGTGTTTGTTCTTTGATGCGCAACTGCTTAGATAATTGCAGTGAATGTAAGTGTTGTTAAAAAGGGAAAAGTGTCACTTAGTGATACTCTAATTGGTCATTTATATTTGTAGCAAAAGAGAAAGAGTAATAGGTTTTTCTTATTATATAAATACTTAGCACAACTTTTCGACTACTGGAAGACATACCATAGCTGGAAATCATAGGGCAGCAGGTATAATAAAGATATAGAGTTTAGACCAATCGTGATGTTAATGATACATATATCGGGAAGTAAACTAGAACTGAACTAGAACTGAACTAGAACTGAACTAGAACTGAACTAGAACTGAACTAGAACTGAACTAGAACTGAACTAGAACTGAACTAGAACTGAACTAGAACTGAACTAGAACTGAACTAGAACTGAACTAGAACTGAACTAGAACTGAACTAGAACTGAACTAGAACTGAACTAGAACTGAACTAGAACTGAACTAGAACTGAACTAGAACTGAACTAGAACTGAACTAGAACTGAACTAGAACTGAACTAGAACTGAACTAGAACTGAACTAGAACTAAACTAGAACTGAACTAGAACTGAACTAGAACTGAACTAGAACTGAACTAGAACTGAACTAGAACTGAACTAGAACTGAACTAGAACTGAACTAGAACTGAACTAGAACTGAACTAGAACTGAACTAGAACTGAACTAGAACTGAACTAGAACTGAACTAGAACTGAACTAGAACTGAACTAGAACTGAACTAGAACTGAACTAGAACTAAACTAGAACTGAACTAGAACTGAACTAGAACTGAACTAGAACTGAACTAGAACTGAACTAGAACTGAACTAGAACTGAACTAGAACTGAACTAGAACTGAACTAGAACTGAACTAGAACTGAACTAGAACTGAACTAGAACTGAACTAGAACTGAACTAGAACTGAACTAGAACTGAACTAGAACTGAACTAGAACTGAACTAGAACTGAACTAGAACTGAACTAGAACTGAACTAGAACTGAACTAGAACTGAACTAGAACTGAACTAGAACTGAACTAGAACTGAACTAGAACTGAACTAGAACTGAACTAGAACTGAACTAGAACTGAACTAGAACTGAACTAGAACTGAACTAGAACTGAACTAGAACTGAACTAGAACTGTACTAGAACTGAACTAGAACTGAACTAGAACTGACCTAGAACTGAACTAGAACTGAACTAAAACTGAACTAGAACTGAACTAGAACTGAACTAGAACTGAACTAAAACTGAACTAAAACTGAACTAGAACTGAACTAGAACTGAACTAGAACTGAACTAGAACTGAACTAGAACTGAACTAGTACTGAAATAGAACTGAACTAGAACTGAACTAGAACTGAACTAGAACTGAACTAAAACTGAACTAGAACTGAACTAGAACTGAACTAGAACAGAACTAGAACTGAACTAGAACTGAACTAGAACTGAACTAGAACTGAACTAGAACTGAACTTAAACTGAACTAGAACTGAACTAGAACTGAACTAGAACTGAACTAGTACTGAAATAGAACTGAACTAGAACTGAACTAGAACTGAACTAGAACTGAACTAGAACTGAACTAGAACTGAACTAGAACTGAACTAGAACAGAACTAGAACTGAACTAGAACTGAACTAGAACTGAACTAGAACTGAACTAGAACTGAACTAGAACTGAACTAGAACTGAACTAGAACTGAACTAGAACTGAACTAGTACTGAAATGGAACTGAAATAGAAATAAACTAGAACTAAACTAGAACTGTTCTGGAACTGAACTAGAACTCAAATAGAACTAAACTAGAACTCATCTAGAACTCAATTTGAACTCAACTAGCACCTAACTAGCACCCAACTGGAACTGACCTAGATCTCAATCTAGATTGGCATGTTTTGCCAATGCCAATTGTGGCCTGAATTGTAGAAACATGTTAGTTACATGGTTTTAAACTTTTACCATCGATAGTAATGATAAATAAATTTTTCTCTACTTTTTAAATTGTTACATCTTAAATAGTAGTTTTTTAACTGAGTTTTATTGTTGTTTATCTTGTACTCTTTTTCTATCATGCTGCACCATTTTGCAGTGGCAGTCGTCGTGGTAGTGGCATACAAGGACCACCACTAACTGAGCATCGAGGTAGCATACATAATTTACAACTGGACATAATGGATGGCATTGCACAAGCTCGTAAAACACGTTCTGGCAGTGGCGTTTGGCAGGCACCCATACTGAAAGAAACCGAAAGCAATGTACCCGTTCAAACATAAATTACTTTTATGTAACATGGATTTTTTGTAATTTTTGTTGGATTTTTTTTTTTGTTCGTTTATTTGTATAGTTAAATATACTACTTTCGATTTTATTTTATACATTTTTTTTACAATTTAATTTAGAACAATAAAGAGAAAAAATAGAAATGTGTAAAAACCAAACGGCTGAATAACAAAGCAACTGTGGCTCTGAGCTCGTAAATGAATCAACAGTTTGTGCAAAAATAAACCAACAAATCAATATGAAACTTTAATGTGTTTAAAAATACTTTCATAATATTTTTATTGCAAAAACTAAAAGAAAAAATAAACAACAATTTTTTAATTTAAAACTAAGTTTTATGTAGTGCTTCGATAAGTTTGTGCCAAAAAAAAATAAAAATTGAAAAACCACACGAAAATTTTAACGAATATTTAAAACATTATTATGCATTTTAAATCCATTTCCATTTTTACTTAAACATTTAATTTATTCAAACGGAAGCGGAAAATAATTGTCTTTATCAAGCTTACTATCCTCTGTATCTTTGTCGCCTGCTGTGTGTACGTGTATTATGCTCAGAAGTCTCTCTTTCTCTCTCTGATGTTCAACATTAATTATGGACATTTTAATATTTTTCGAAACGGAAGTGGTAAGTAAATTTTCATTTACCTTTTAACAATTTAGTTTTTTAATTCAATTTTTTTTTGTATTTTAGTTAGTTTCTCTTTTAAAATGCATTTAGTTTAATTTTTGTTCATATCAAAATACATGGCAGGTTCTCTGATTTGTGTAGCATCAGTGTGTAGTTTAAAAGCCTGTGGGCGCTTAGTTTAGGAAATGTATTTGAAAGGATTTTTACAAAAAGTCAAGGATTTTACAAAAAGTCAAGGTTTTCTCGCATTAATGTACAATGCTATAATCTATAGTCTAGTTTAGTCTAGTCTATGTCTAGTCTATAGTCTAGTCTATAGTCTAGTCTATAGTCTAGTCTATAGTCTAGTCTATAGTCTAGTCTATAGTCTAGTCTATAGTCTAGTCTATAGTCTAGTCTATAGTCTAGTCTATAGTCTAGTCTATAGTCTAGTCTATAGTCTAGTCTATAGTCTAGTCTATAGTCTAGTCTATAGTCTAGTCTATAGTCTAGTCTATAGTCTAGTCTATAGTCTAGTCTATAGTCTAGTCTATAGTCTAGTCTATAGTCTAGTCTATAGTCTAGTCTATAGTCTAGTCTATAGTCTAGTCTATAGTCTAGTCTATAGTCTAGTCTATAGTCTAGTCTATAGTCTAGTCTATAGTCTAGTCTATAGTCTAGTCTATAGTCTAGTCTATAGTCTAGTCTATAGTCTAGTCTATAGTCTAGTCTATAGTCTAGTCTATAGTCTAGTCTATAGTTAGTTCTATAGTCTAGTCTATAGTCTAGTCTATAGTCTAGTCTATAGTCTAGTCTATAGTCTAGTCTATAGTCTAGTCTATAGTCTCGTCTATAGTCTAGTCTATAGTCTAGTCTATAGTCTAGTTCTATAGTCTAGTCTATAGTCTAGTCTATAGTCTAGTCTCTATAGTCTAGTCTATAGTCTAGTCTATAGTCTAGTCTATCTAGTCTAGTCCTATAGTCTAGTCTAAGTCTAGTCTATAGTCTAGTCTATAGTCTAGTCTATAGTCTAGTCTATAGTCTAGTCTATAGTCTAGTCTATAGTCTAGTCTATAGTCTAGTCTATAGTCTAGTCTATAGTCTAGTCTATAGTCTAGTCTATAGTCTATGTCTATAGTTCTAGTCTATAGTCTAGTCTATAGTCTTAGTCCCCCTATAGTCTATAGTCTAGTCTATAGTCTAGTCTATAGTCTAGTCTATAGTCTAGTCTATAGTATAGTCTATAGTCTATAGTCTAGTCTATAGTCTAGTCTATAGTCTAGTCTATAGTCTAGTCTATAGTCTAGTCTATAGTCTAGTCTATAGTCTAGTCTATAGTCTAGTCTATAGTCTAGTCTATAGTCTAGTCTATAGTCTAGTCTATAGTCTAGTCTATAGTCTAGTCTATAGTCTAGTCTATAGTCTAGTCTATAGTCTAGTCTATAGTCTAGTCTATAGCTAGTCTATAGTTTAGTCTATAGTCTAGTCTATAGTCTAGTCTAGTCTAGGCTATAGTCCAGTCTATAGTCTAGGCTATAGTCCTGTCTATAGTCTAGTCTATAGTCTAGTCAATAGTCTACTCTATAGTTGAAAAACAATCTTTATGTTTAATGTTTATCCTCTAGAAAGATTTTCCTGTTACAACACTGTCATATGACATTCATTGTCCTCACATGTTCGTTATCCTTGTACTAATGTATTTGATGTTTAAGCTTGTAATTTGTAATGTCCTTGACCTTGTCATTATTTTATTATATATACACTTATGTTGTCTTTTATCTCTAATACATAAACAGGAATGTCAAAAGTAATGTATGTGTACATTACATTGAAACACACTATGGGTGCAATAATGTTTGAAAAAACATTTTTTTTTTTTATTCGAAAGCATTAAGACTACAGGTGGAGCCCAGAAAACAAGAATATTTTATAGCAATTTGTTAAATTTGTATGATAGACATGTCGTTAAATATCCTGTTGTTAATTTCAGCTTAAAAATTTAAATCAATTAAAAAATATTTGCTATTAAACTGCTTTCTAGGTTAAAACTGTCAATCTAACTTTTAGTTTTATTATTTTTTTACTAAAAAAACTCATGGACAAATTTTATCTCTAACATTTCCTTAATTAAAAATCTAAATAAATACTTTTTTTACTTTTTACACATTTATGCATTTCCCCCAAACTTACTGAAAAATTCAATTAACTTCTTTCTAATTGTCAATTGACTGATACTCATCATATTATAAAACGTTTGCCAATCTAACTACTGTCATTTTAATTGGTAAATTCATTTTTTTTTTTCACTCTCTCTCTTTTAACTTTATTCCAGTAAATTATGCAAAAATGTGCGACATTGACAGCCAACACGTTATGTGAGCTGTCAATCAAACTGTCACAGCTGGCTGTGAAATATGTTCACTCAAAATTAGTTGAGCAGAGTGTCAAAAAGTAGTAAATAAAAATGGAAAATTATATTTTTATACTGAAAATATTAGTTTGTAAAATTTGTTTAGAGGATAAACTAAAGTTTTCGATACGAATACTTTTAACACGTATTTAATTATTCCCCTAGAAATCAACAGATGTAGTCAATGGGATTTTAATAGAAATAAGAGGGTGTGAAGTCGCAAGGGAAAATGGTAGATCAAGATGTATGCGTTGTCTCTCTCTTTCTTACTACGTATCTGATTTATAAATTACTTCCGAAAAAAAATCATTTAAATGGAAACATTAGAAATTTTCTATTTCAGTAAATAAAAATTTCTATAAAAAAGAGAGAACTTCGATTTTTTTTTTTTTATAAAAAGAAGAATTCTAAAAAGTGTTTTATTGAAAAAGTAATTTTTGAAATTTTCGAAAATTTTCAATAAAAAAAAGAAATTTTTGAAAATGTTCTCTTTAAAGATATGTTCGAAAATATTCTATAAAAAGTGAAATTTATGAAAATATTCTATGAAAAAAGAGAAATTTAAAAAATTTTTTATCAAAAAAATATAGAAAACTTTCTGTAAAATATACGAAAATGTTCTATAATGTTTTATAATAAAAGTGTTCTATAACAAAGAGAAATTTTTCAAAATTTTTCTATAGTAAAGAGAAATTCTTCGAATTTTTTTTTATAATAAAGAGAAATTCTTCGAAAATTTTTTATAATAAAGAGAAAATTTTCAAAATTTTCTATAATAAAGAAAACTTTTCGAAAATTTTCTATAACAGAGAGAAAATTTTCTATAATAAAGAAAAAATTTCGAATATTTTCTATAATAAAAAGAAATTTTCGAATATTTTCTATAATAAAAAGAAATTTTCGAAATTTTTCTATAATAAAGAGAACATTTTCTATAATAAAGAGAAATTTTTCGAAAATATTCTTAATAAAGGGAATTTTAAAAAAATGTTCTTAATAAAGAGAGATTTTAAAAAAATTTCTATAATAAAGAGAAATTTTAAAATATGTTCTATAATAAAGAAAATTTTTTGAAAGTTTTTATGAATAAAGAAAAAATGTCTATAATAAAAAAAATTCGAAGATTTTCTATAATTAAGATAAATTTTAGAAAATGTTATATAATAAAAAGAAATTTCTCTATAATAAAGAGAAATTTTTAAAAATTTCTTTATGAAACAAAATGATTGATTTTGTCATTCCGTTTTTAACACATCGAAATATTGGTCAAAGACCCACAAAAGTATATATTCTGGGTCCTTATTAAATTCTAAGACAATATAGCCATGTCCGTCCGTCTGTCTGTTGAAAGCACGATAGAGTCCGAACAGAATGAGCTATGGGATTGAAACTTTCCACAAATATTCTCTACAGATAAGGTTTGTTTGTTATTGAAAATAGACAATATCGGTCCACGTTTTCGGATAGCTCCCATACAAGTGGACCCCCGAAAAACAGCTTTAACGGGCATATCTGTTTTAAAAGTACAAGTGTAGCAAATTCGACATAAATAAGTTTCATACAAGCCAAAATCTCCCTACGAAATTTTATGAGAATCGGTCCATAATTGACCCTACCCCCCATATAAGGTTCCCTTCGGAAAATCATTATAACGCTCATTACTGGCTTAAAAATACGAGTATAGCAATGAAATTTGGCATAAGTTAGTCCCTGATGAGCCAAAATCTCTATACCAATACCGGTCAATAATTGACCCCACTCCCCATTTAAGATCCCCTTCAGAAAATGACTTTAACGCTAATAAATACGAGTATAGCGATAAAATTGGACACCCATAAGTTCCATGTGAGTTACAGAAAGTGTCTCTATCAAATTTTATGTTGATCGGTCCATAATTGACCCTACCCCCCATATAAAATCTAGTTCAAAAAACGTCTTTAACGCTCATTACCGGCTTAAAAATACGAGTAAAGCAATGAAATTTGCTTACGAGCAAAATTCTCTGTAGCAAATTTTATGTGGATCGGTCCATAATTGACCCTACCCCCATATAAGGTCCCCTCCAGATAATTA